TGTGGTCAAATTCCATCAGAAATAATCAGTGTTTACTCGTGATTGTATTTTTTGTCATAAGTATAAATTAATGGAAGTTCATCCTTCCACTGAGATGAAAGATGATGTTAAATGAGGGTAGATAGGTGGAGAGAGATGAGAGAGATATTGCTGGTATTGAGTCTGTTACCTTGTATATTAATGCTTTGTGTCTTTATGCTTTGTATTCTGCATTGGTGTATGTGGGTCGTGCTCAGTTCTCTCTGTCTCAGGCTTCTGCCAGGCTGTTGTCACTCAAAATAAGATTAAAGCCATCCTGTCCATTAATGTTGACTTATCACATTTGGAATTTGCCTAGTGCTACTGAAATAGAAGTTCCTGTATTTTGAATATAGCATCTAGTTAACAGTTATTTGTAACTACATCTGTGCAACCATCTCACAGGCTTTTTCAGTGCACCAGGGTCCATTTACTTATAACAGTGAGTGACACATTCTCATGTACCATTATGCAATCAAGGTCATCATCATAATAACAATATTTACACCTTAACCTCTTAAGTCAAGTGAAGCAGAATTCCACACTGGGAGGAAAATTGGGGATTATCTTTTTTTGCATTTGCTGACCATAAGCAGAATGCTCAGTCATGTGTATTAGGTGTCCAGCTAGCAATTAAATTCTGTTTTACAAAAAAGGATATTCCTAGGTTTGAATATTCTCAGGTAGATTTGCATTGTAATAACAGTCAACATGAGGACAACCAACATTAGGGAACCCGTAACCTTAGGGCTGCTGGAATTAGTTTGATCTCCTAAATATAACTCATAAAATAGATGATTCATTGTGTATAAAGTGCCCAGTTAACTGTCTGTGTAAACAGAAACATATTCGAGTGAATTACATGTAAGTTAACAACGCTTATTGCATGGCCAGAGGAAAACAGATGTCTTTGTTTCTGAATTATTCTGTGACTATTTGATTTTTCAAAGATGCTCCACTTCTATCTTGCTTTTAGCAGGTGTGGAGCTAGGAGAGAAGTACTGACTCTTCAGTTTACTTCTCTGTGTCTTTTATCTGCACTCCCTGCTCTGACAAGCCTCAACAGAATGAAAACAACAGTCTATCCTTTCATAGTGAGAGAGCAGCTAGTGTATCTCAGAGAAGTTGAAATCGCAGTTTACCAAATCGACTAGATTAACAGAAGGGTCTCCTCCCATTTGTAGTTGTTCTTATGTGGTTTTAAAACTGAATGAATTTGACAGGGTCTTATCCAACTGGTGATGTTTCTTTTTTCCATTTTCTAACCGTTTCTTCCAATTCCGGGTCATGGGGCAGCCTATTCCAGCAAGCAACAGGATACACCCTGGATGGGATGCCAGTCCTTCATAGAGCTATCAGTCACACACACAGACACGCATTCGCACCAGGGCCAACTCTCCTAGAAGCCAATTAACCTTCCAGCATGTTTTTGGACTGTGGGAAGACACGGGTGCACCCGACACATACAAACTCCACACAGACAGCCCCCCAATTTCAGAACCGAACACCAAACTGTGCTGTGCTGTGAGGCAGCAATGCATCATTCTGACACCCCTTGACAGGGTTATATCAGACACCAACAGGGGTCAAGGGAAGAAGAAATTACATCTGATGTACCCAGGTACCTCTCCAAAGCATCGGACAATGATTCTTAGGAAAATTGCCCAAACTGCCAATCGATTTTACCTCAGGTTTATCCTTAAGGAAAAAAAGGGCCTAGCATTTTTTCTAGTAGTATCAGGTTATGATTCAAGTAAGTAATGTGTTGTGAAAACATACCTTTACATGGCTAATGTAATTTAGAAGCTACAGTGCAAGATGTGGTGCCTCTGGGTTTGTCGAAAACAGATATGAGAAAACTTCCAGAGGAAAGATCAGCTGAACCCTGGTCATTTTGCTTTTGTAAAATGCTTAAAACCAGCACTGTTAAAAATACATGCATATGAGCAAAGCAATAATATTTAAAGAAGAAATCTTTTAGAAAATTTACAGTTTATGTATGGGATTTATTTTCTCCTTGGAAAATGCAAATAAATAGCAAACTCGGATCTGCCGGCCTGTTCTCTAGCCAAAAGAAGTTGGCACAGTGGATACATAACAAGCACGCAACATGAGCATTCCTTGCCAAGTCATCTGTGGCATATTAAAGGCCTTCATTTAAAAGAAAACAACTCTAAACCTGTCATAGGCATTACACAAAAGCCTTCCACTACACGGGGGATTATGAAAACTTGTTGAGAAATACAGAATGTGGGAAGGAAGAAACTACTGAAACAGTTCAGTTCAGAGACACTGCTTAGCCCTAACGTACCATTTAAGGTATTAAGAACAGCAAGCACCCTGTCTGAAGCGTCTTTATTCATCCTGACATACGTTAACTGCCATTAATGTTGGACTTGAGTTTCTCAAAGGCTGCCACACAAGCGATTCCTGTTGAATTGTCCACAGCCCCACAGCATTTCCCAGTGGAGTTCTTAGCTAGCCTTAACGACAATGAAAGTCAAATCCTACACAGTTTGGCCATAAACCACGCACACTCAGTTAAAATCAACATGTATTAAAAAATGTTAGTTTTTTTAAGAAGTTACCACTTGTCGTCGGTTAATGATTAATAAAAGAGCTCACAATATGGTATATTTATAATATAATAAGAATTACTAAGTTGCCAAGCCGTGTGGAGACTTATAGATGAGCATGAGCATTTTGAAGTCGACACGAAATCAAATAGGAAGCCAGTGCAAGGAGTCTAGGTCAGGAATAATGTGATGTCTTACGCGAGGTCTGGTCAGAAATCTGGCTGCTGAATTCTGGACATACAGAAGTTTGTTCAATGTGGATTTAGATACCCCATTGCAGTAAACAAATTTAGATTACTGCAAAATGTATTTAGATTGTCAGTACACTTTTGATAAAGATGCTCAAAATGATTATTTATTATGCTGCAGGTAGTTTGCACTCACAGTAATGCTTGCATTTGGAATAAGAGATGCTTTATAGAAAAAAAGGGCACAGGTAGGGGATGAATACTCAGAGTCAGGTGACAATTGGAATATAAAGGAATGTCGTGTGCTAAAAGACTATAAGAGTTAGTCTTAAATCTTGAACAAAGAAGAACGGAAAGGAACTGATCCACATATTCAAAATCCTCAAGAGAAAGTTACCCAAGCTATTGAATCATTCTGACAAACATGTAACCCTGGCTTCTTTCAGGAAGCAGCTCTCAAATAAGATTTTCACAGATCTACGAGCTACAAGGAACGAAATGAACTACAGTAGATGAGCCTAACGATGACCTCTGATTTTTAACCATTCCTGTTGTTTCTAGTTTGGGAAAACTAGAAAAAAAAGACATTAATGCTTAAGTATGTTCTAAAATTTCAGGCTTTACGGCCCAATCACCCCAAGTGATTTAGGTAAAAGAGGAAACAAGCTAACAAAGTTGCCTTTTTTTGTAATAACTAAACCATTGTCATAATAACACTGTGCTAAAAGGCGCAGTAAGGTGAATCCAGTTCACTCTGTTAATTAGTCTCCACCAATGCGGCCAAATTCTGAAAGATTCAGAATCACAAGGAGAAAATACCGATTTAGACTTTCTTTTACTAATCCAAATGGCACTGTCTTAGTGCACTCATCTATATCAGGTTTAAAAGCTGATATGATTCCTCACAGTTCTAGAATTTTGTGAAGTATGATCAATTCCATTAGAACTGAAGGGAAAAATAAATTATGCTTCCACCTTCATCAGTGTTAGAGAGCCGTAAAAGGAGTGTTGTAACTTTCACAGCTTTTTCATGTTCAGTTATTGCTCGCTCTTGAGAAACTCAAGCCTACTTGACTTCAAATATTTTAAAAAAAGATATGTATTTCTGCTATTCACAGAGGGTAAAATGTGTTTTTTCAGAATATGACCTGGTACCTTTCTAAATACTTATGCTTGCATAGTATTCTAAAGCCTTCTTGGAAAGTTGTTTTGATTAAATTTGTACACATAAAAAAGTAAATCAGAGGCCAGTTAATTTACAAAGCTACCACTGACCTTGAGGGAGGAACTGAGTACTGGATTCTGAACCTAAAGCACAGTTTTCAACAGTGTTGGTTTTCAGTACAAGAAAATTTGAAGAAAATGCCTCAAAATACTTGAATTTAAAAACAAATGTTTTAAAACAAATATAACTGCAGTTTCATATTTTCTTACTGTGTCAGTAATGTCCTGTTTAGCCAATTAGTTTATTTCTTTTTTAAAAAAACATTTGGAAATTCACAATTTTATAATATTATATGCACAACCAGCAGGGAGTAGTCAGCTGTTTAAGACTTGGCGCCTGTACCTGAACAAGAAAAATCAGGACCTGATTCTCCAACGTCAGAACCAGTCATGTCTCGACGGGAAAGCTAGGAAAGCTCCTGGCTGCAGAAAGAACACATCACCCTGAAACCATCACCAGCTGCAGGCACCTAGCAAGTCATCAGAGCTGCTGTGTGTCTGAGATCTGAGGAACGCTGGCTCACTAGTGCTCCCTTACTCCTGCCACCAGTGTACAGCTACCAGGAGAATCCCCGTCACAGCTGGGGACAGCATAGGACACGATGCAGAGCTCCACCTGACTGCTCGAAACACTCGGGAAGGCGGGTAATTGATATTTTGTTCCCAGGAAAGCATCTGAAGTGTGATCAAACAAAACGGTTCAAGGGCGGGAAAAAATGCTAGTTGTTTAAGCATTGAAAATATTGAAAGTACTTATTCTAACACATCTACTTATGTACAGACAGAAGAAACTGATGCTGATGAAGCCGACGGATAATTTTTATTACTGTACTAAGAACGAAAATATTGTGTATATATATATTATAACAATACTAATATTTGTAACAATGGAAAACACATTTTAAGCATATTCAAAACCTATTCATTCAACTCTTGTAGGACTAAACAGCTAAAATACAGTAGCATCTAGTATTTGCATTCCAGTGTCCTGAATAACAGTGAAAAATGTATTTTAAACTGATGCCACTATTGCCCTGTTTCATCTGGCTTTAAAATGTTCAGATCCAGGCACAATTATTTATTTTGAAATGAACCATAAAATGTGTTTTTCAGTTGTGCCTTTATTTTTAAATGTAGTTATTGCCAGTTGTCAAGGCAAGTCAAGGAAAGTTACATGAGAAAGTAGAAAATATCCCCAGGTGAGAAGAATTTGGAAGGGCAGACCTTTAGATAAGCAGATGACAAGTGGTAAATTTTTCATATAAAAATGACATTTAGTGAGGCAACAAGTGTCATAACTTTAATCATGGAAAAGATTTATGAAATGTGTTTTTTGCGGACACACCACAGGCAGGAACAGGTAGGCTGCATGACTTCTAATCTCCTCCTTCTTCACTGGCTGACCCCCCTCCATTGCCACAGTGTTCGCCGTCTATCACCGATAACAAAATAAATAAATAAAAGTGCCGGAGCATTAAAATCACATTTGCAAGAAAAGAGTTTCTTGATTGGCGGTGACATTACCTGATAAGTTCATCTGGTCTTATTAAGGCTGCTGCAATTCTAAGATGAAAATGCTTTGAAAACCATGTCACAAAGTGCACAGATTGCATTTTGGCTGAGATAAATGAAGTAGAAAAAACCTACTAACTTATATAATTATCTGCCATCTCATGCCATGATAAATCTTCTTAAGTACTAAATGCACAAGAAGGCAACTGACTACAAAACAAAACAATGTTTATCCACTTTCTTGCTAATTATTATGTTAAATGTTTACAATTTGCTGTAGCAATAAGAAACTGTTTATAAGCCACACTCAGCGAACTGAATCACTGTTTATTTTCTAAGCTTGCTCAACACAACATCCTCAAACACTTTTTTTACATTTGTTTTTAGCTCACAGATGGCAAAGTTAAGTCTTCTGAAGCCTCACTTTGAATGTGGCTTCCCAGCAGCAGTTAAGCAGAATCAAATCCGAGTACCGATGAACGATAAGTGTTGTTTAATTTGCTGTACGCACTTGGCAATGGCAAAGCAAAAAAGAGATTGAAAGGCATTTCAAAACAGCTCATAAAAATGCCAAAGATGATTTGCTGGTTGCAGTGGTGCTCTCGTGAAAGCCAGCGAGAATAAAATAAACTTAAAAGGCCAACTGTCAGCAGAGCTGAATGTTTTCACATCAGAACGTTTTTTGATGATTGTAGTGTAAAGAACCAGCTAGTCCCTTAGTCTGCCCAGAAGATCACTATGTCCCGCACTGGAATGTCATGATGGTAAAAAAGGGTTGGTTTAAGTTTTAAATTAAATTTTTCCAAAACATCTGCATTTACATTTCAACTGGTAACCCAGAAGTGAGGGTTTTAAGTAAGATGCTGCAAAATTCAGATATTGTGTGCCTATTGACACACATTTTTCTTAGAATTAATATATTGAATCTATCAAGCAGGGAGCTGCGTCAGTATGCGCAGGCTGCAAAGGAACAAGTAAAGGTTTATTCCCTGCTGAAAAGGAAAGAGACATAACGTTTTGGTTGTGGAGCCTTCTTCAGGTGTGAAGAAGGCTCCACAGCTGAAACATTGAGTCGTGTTATCAGACACATTCAAAATGTACTGAAACTAGTAAATCCTTAATTACTTTCCAATTCTGACTCACCAGAATATCAAAAGGCAGCAGGTGTGTTCCCTTTTGAAAAGTCCAGGATTAATTCAATACTCCATTTGTTACAGGAGCTGTTTGCCATGTTCCTTTTTCTATTGATGACTTCTCCTGCTGATAAAAACCCTTCTCGATTGTTACTGTTGGCCAGTGTTTAATCTTAACAATGGGGTTCTGAAAATGAAATAATAACCATTGACAATGACCTCAAAATAATATAGAGAAATATTTCCCATTTGTAGGCAGGCAGTGCATTATAACAGAGATACAGAAGGTTGCATTTTGCATTTAAACTTTTCTTAATTATCTTACCTCTTGCCTATTGTCATGCATAATACATATGACATCACAATATAGAGTGGTAATGACAGACAGTTACATGGATGACTGCTTGAAACCTGGTCTTGTTACATCCACACCAAGTTTCAATAAACAGGTTGACATTTTCTATTATACAGGTGTCTCAATTATTTTAGAATATAGCCTACAGTGTGTTTATAGCAAAATGCTGAATCTTAGAGGGTAGCAGTCTGAGAATTCTTAATAGAAATGTACAGGTTAACATCTAAGTTGAAACTTTGTGCAAAGCTTTAGAACTTTAGGATTAAGAATGAGCCGTTCCCTTAAAGGACAACTTCTAATAGGGGCAAAAAATTCCATCCTGCAAGCAAACTTTAAATATTAATAGCATTCAAATGAGATTGCTAAAGCCGAGACTGTTCTAATAAACGCGTAGTTGCTAATGCAGTTTGGCTGACTTTCAAAGATCTATTTACACAAAACCTCCTGAAAGCAATCAAAATTGCCTATTGTCCTTTTTGCAATCATTTTAAATTGAAAGGTGGAGAGAGGGGGGTCAGTTTTAATGTGTTTGGTCTAAACTAGGCTTAATTACAATATATTAGAACGTTGAACAGGAAAATTAAGGAATGCAGGGGATTGTAACTGTGTTGATTGGTTTTTAATGCACTGCATTTCTGTTCATGCAAATGAAACTAGCAAAAGATAAGAACTCATGACAAGACAACACATCATTTAATGGAAATAAAATAGATTAAATGCTGTAAGTCAATTTAGCTCTTTAGTCATAGGAGAAACTAAGAACTGGGGATTGCTCAATGAGGTAAAAGCCAGAATGGCACCACATGTTGTGTGAGCTCATTTCCAGGGGTGAAGCTTTGTTTAGCATCAAAAACAATAGGTGGATTAAAGGATTGCTGTAAAAATGGAAAGGGCCTGCAGAGGTAGTATGTGTTCTGGAATCTTAATGTTATAATCGTCTTAACAGTAAAAATAAAACAATAGCCCAGAAAGAAAGAAAAACAAGGAAGAAAGGCACTTACATTTGCAAAGGATGTTATCACAAAGTGTAAAAACAAATAATTCTCATCTAATGCTGGAAATGTGTGTCCTACACTCCTTTTAATGGTGGAGTTTAATATTGGCTTGCTTTTAAAAATAATGTATAGACAGTGTGTATAAATTTAAGAGTTTTTGCTCTGGTGTTGGTAATGTGGTGCTAACTGTGAATGAAGGCCTTCAAACCAAACATATGATTGGTGTGATAACATACGTACCCCATTTTAACATTTGGTATTCTCGTCTGGTTTTTACAATCTAACAGTACTACCAACAAATCATTCTTCTTGTATAAAATATCCACATCTGTGCTATACAGTACATTCATATAGTCCCAACAAAGCAAACAACAAGCAAGTGGGAGAACTACCTGTTTAGCTGCATGATTCTCAGAATAATTATGTTATTATTTTGTCTTTTTTTTACTTGGCTTCTAAAAACAGAACTGAAAAGCCAAATGCCCATCAATGTGCAAGAAGCAACAATTGTGCAACAATTGTATTTACTGAGCTGTAAACAGTGTTTGTCTGAGATCTGAACATATGGAGAGATTAAAGACATCACCATCTGGATAGCTTTGACTCCGCTGGAAAAAAGTTTTCTCTTTTTAGGTTCCTGTTATCCATATGGAATAATACCATGATGTGAGATAGATTTAGAATATTCATGTTATTCAGGATTTTTTTGGATACCCACAGGTGTCAGATTTGACTGGCTTTTTTTTTTAGTGTCTACATTTTAACCATAGGACTTCAAAAGAAATGTGCCTAGGCTGTGACATTTAGTGAGCCACATTACCTATTAAAATAAAATTTCTTAACATCTCCTTTTGGCGACACATGGTGAATGTGCTCAATTATCTCTGCAACAATATAGAAGATAGAGCTTGTTTACTTGTACTAAGTACAACACCTTAAGTATATGCATATGACATTCATACAGTTGTTTTATTATGTTTCTTAGGAGGGAACTAATCTTTTAAGACGGATGAGTTTAATTCTTGGGTGTAGCTCTTGGTCCAAGAGTCCAAGCATTTATTTTGTGGAGCAATAACTTCATTACAGTCTACAGAACTTGCTGCTACCCACCTTCAATTATTTTGCAGTTTAGTGTAAAATGTTTCTGCAGCAAATATAAAAAAAAGTTATTACTACTCTAAATATCCAGCTCTCAGCTCCAGAAAACCATTTTTCTTTCACTGTCGCCTGGTATACCTATATAAAATATACACCTCCACTTCTCTGGTTTAGGGTTTTGTCATAAGCCATGGGCTATACCCACTGTGGCATTATGTAATAAATTATTACAAGGGGATCAATATACTGTCTTCTCTGAAAAAATGCACATCACTGCCTGCACAGGTCTACCAGACCACTGCAACACTGTACAGTAGTTCTGGTCTGTATTCTAGGGATGAAAGGAGAGGTGTTTGCGCTTTTGAAGGTAAATATATAAGCTAATGACAAATTATTTGATATATTGATAATCAGTTCTCAGACAGTAGCATGTTCCCTTTACTCCAGACAGATTCTTAATTTATTAGAGATCAACAGAGCTCTTATGCTTGCTGGTACAGTCTATTAAAAGCACATTGTGTTTGTAGTAGGCGGATGCGTTTCTGAGAAAAGGCAGTTTTTTGTTTTACTTTTGTGTAAAATGGAAGAGTCAGATGCAAAAAGTTTTTCTTCACACTGCTACTTTTTCTCGTTTTTACTCTAAAATAACGAGCTGGTTTGATCAGAGAGCTTTTCAACGCCCTGTAGGGTAAATGAGCCGCTCATTCACTTTTATATTGTTGTGCTTTTTATTACACCAAAACATTATCGGATCACTTTGACTGTAACAGATAACATGGAAATATACACCAATTGTAAAAGCAGGAGTATCTCACATCGATGTCACAAAAAGCCAGCAGGTGCCTAGCTTTCAAAATTGTTTTGTCAATTCTGTGTCAGTGTTTAATTTGATAAACTATGTGTCACATCTGTGTAATCTGAAAAAAAGCTCAAACCAATAGGGTTTCTGCCACGACTGAGACTGACAAACCCTTTGGAATGTGGTTTGATAGACTCCATGGGTCATGAAGGTTTTATAGATGACCGTATTGCGTTTAGTTTGGGTCATAGAAACGGACACTCAAATGAAATAGTGGAATGTTAGCGGAGTATTTTTTTTAAATTACAAGCATTTTAAATTTCTTGAACCACATAATTTATCACATCGCCCCTACAACATACATTATATAAAACTGTTAAAACACAAGTAGAACAGGAAGGAGATGCAAAATATCTTATCTTGCAACTGTCAAGCTGGAAGATCCATTTCATCATTCCTGGAACACTAGAATGCTAATCCATATATTATACATGTTTGCTTCAGGTTTGTGAATATTGGGCATATATATCATTGTAGATATTGATTTTTCTGTCTTGACAAGGACTGCAAACAAGATATGTTATCCCAGTGGATTTCTACTGTATAAATATTTAAAACATGGGAAATGCAAACTTCTTTTTTAAAATAAAAGTACATGCGCAAGGAGTTCAGAATGCAAGGAAAGACACTGAGGGAAAGGTAGAACCTTCACATCAGTATTCGTACATCGGGTTACTTCTCCAAAGGCTTCATTGGACAGCTGTGAAGAAACTAACATTTTATGTTTTTTTTTCAGTCTTAGCTACTGTTGTAAAGGATGCTTACAGTACATCACACAGGTGTGGAATATTAGCGTTCATTATATTTCACAGAATTGAGAGGAATAAATAGGGTCAGGTATTGAACAGTTTAACCTTTTTTTTCTTATTTTCATTTCAGGGTATTGTTTTATTTTTTAAGTTTTTCCATATAGGCGACACATGAAATAATCCGTCACTCATCACCCCCCTACCAGGAACACGTACAAGACATAGCACCACGCAGAAACTGAGAACTCAAATGTATAGTCATTGACCTTTTAAATGGGTTTTTAATCCATCCATCCATTTTCTAACTACTTCATCCGACTGAGACGAGCGGGGAGCCAGATCTCGGCCAGCAGTGGCTCTAAGGGAGGGAACACCCTGGACAGGAAGCTGGATCATCTCAGGGCGCACACAGACACACACATGCTGACACCAGGGCCCAGAGGCCAACTGACCTACCAGCACGTCTTTGCACTGTGGGAGGACACCCATGCAAACACTGGAAGAACATACAAACTCCACTCAGATAGCACCCAAGAGATAGTATTAAACCCAGGGCCTAAGGGTTTTAATATGGTGCTTTTTTCCTGACCTGAAGTATGTGCTTTGGAATGGCTTTTTTATTCCATCCCGTGGTCTTATTTTGCCTTGCTGCACTCTGGTGAGGCTGTTCATCAAGCTGTCTACAGCAGCACCATGAACCTCTAGGGTAGGTCATCACTGTAAATGTGCCCTCATTCAGCTTACTGTTTTAAGTAAAGGTTTCGAATGACCGACTGCCATCCTTTCATTTGTGCCTGTTATTCTGCAGTGCACTCAGAACAAGCAGCAGCTGCCTCCCACATCTGAAAAACAATATTGTAGTTCTGTTTTGATGAGAAAAAAAAAAGGATGAGACCTAGGCAATTTGTTTAGCTTTTGGCAAGATATGCATTTTCCAATCCAGACTCGCTCCAAAGAAACAGAATGCTCCTCATTTCCTACTGGCAGAAAGTTAATTAGCATTTTTGCTCCAACTGAGTGATGTCTTCTTCCAATACGTTTTTCGGATAATTATAAAAAGAATTTGTATTTCAGTCTAGCACAAGGCATGCCTTCGTCAGCATTAACGAGGCTGATTTTCCCCTCATTTCG